CAGCTAATTGAGCCGTGTCTCAAAATCAAATAATCATCAACTTTGGCCTGTTCTTCCTCGTAAATAAAATAGAAGTATTTTCCATTTGGTATAATTAAGAACTACACCAGTCCCATTTTCGTTAATGCCATTCTTGGCCGGCCTTGAATTCTTTAGGTGTAATTACACTGGGGAGGTGCTTGATTTGTGGCTTTCACGATAAGTTAACTTATGAGTTTTAATTTCAATCGTACCCACATACTATAATATTTGTTTTAAGGTCAATTGGAATCAGTTAATGAATTTCATAGATTCCTTCTCGGGGGTTTCATGATTAACTATTAAAAAGTGGAGTTTCACTTATCTTATTACTAGTATTTTTTTGTTTTTTAGATTAATCTTGAATACATTAATAGTGTATATGCTAATACCCTTTGATTGATAATAATGCCACATCTGCAAAAAACGAAGTTCGAATTCAAACAAAAAAAAAAATTAAGCGGCTTGCATCTGAGGAGGGTGCTAATGCATACATTTTCATTATATACAAGATTAATCTTTATTTTCTTTTGATTGCTAAAATCTATTGCTGTAAAGTTATCAAATACTCAGTGGTGTTCTTATCAAACCTGGTGTTTTTCCCCAATTTACCATAGTAACCGTACCTAAAGTATAGTCATAGTGATTGTGGAATTCGAACCAAATATATACTATTGAAACTAAATCCCATTTCTTGTCTCAAAACCCATCTACCAAACGCACCCTAAGTGCTACAGCTAAATTTACTACTGGAAGCTAAGTTTTATGACAGATCATAATCAGCAGTTGTATCATACCAGTTGATCTCTCTCTATTTCTGCCCTTTATTTTTTTGGGGGTCAAATGTAGATAATAGATTATCCTAATGTTAACCTACTAGGCACTAGCTTTAGATTATGTACTTCTAGAACAGATCAGAGATGTATTAGACTTTTCCAGTACTAGACTTCTCCAGCTCTGTTCTACCCCCAAAAAAGGGGGGAATTTACAGCTCTGAACTCTGATAATGTCGGTCAAAGAAGCTCAAAATTTTTAGCAAGAATTGTCTGCATATGCAGGGACCCCATCAAATAATATCCCCATCAATGGCCCTAATCTTCATCCCTTAACTTTGGGTTGAAGGAGGCAAGTTTCGTGCTTTAACATTCATTCACACTTCACAATTCACGTCAAAGATTCCTCCATAGTTTACTTTAGTCCCCTTCAAGTTCCCCTGAGTTACCTCTTCGCCCCATCTTCTCAGTCTTCAGCTTCAAGGCTTGGACTTCTTTACTTATAAATAAACTCCCACTTTTGTCTTTCCATTTGTCCCAGTGTCCCCAACCCCAACTATCTTCTCACATCTGTCTCTCTTTCTTTCTGTGCTTCACCTTTTTCCAGCTTTGATTACTCCCTTTTGGTCTTTTCCAATTAATACACACACACAGATACATAAACCATAAACAACTTTTGTTTCTGCAGCAATATCAGCATGGCTCCTAAGTTGGTATTCTTGATGCTTATGGTCTTCTTGACTATAAGCTTCAATCAGGTGTTAGCTTCAGATCCAGACATGCTTCAAGATGTTTGTGTTGCTGATCTCACAGGTACCCCAAACTGACTTCTTCTACCTTCTTTTAGATTATGGACTGTAACATTAATAACGTTCATTGCTTAGTTTTTCAAGTTCCTTGAACCTTAGTTGGTAATTGGCTTCAATTCTTGATCCAATACAAGCATTTAGATGTGTTGGTAGTTGTTAGTTCCTTTTCACTTGTCCTTTTCTTGCACATTTTGACATTGACTGCTCGTTACTTTTCTTTCTGTGTTGATGCTGATCACTCTGTTGGAAATCAACACACCAACTAGGAAGATATTTATCAGACATGTACTGTGTATATGCATTTTAGCTGCTGCCTTGTGCCAACTACTTTCGCAGCTATTCAACTACTCTGTTTGGGGTCGGATTTAATGTCTGTCGGACTGACACCTAAATTTTTGGTCCATGAGAATTTAAAGTAGTGATGATTCAATATTGTTCAGTCTCAAACTGTACATGATAGGACCAAAGATACATTTATGATAATTAATGTTATGCAGTTATCTATCCTGTAAAAGAGAATTAATCTCTGAAGCATGATAGCTGTATTCTAGTAGTAATTATTAGACTGCGTGTGGAGGAAAAAGAAGAAAAACGCTCGCCTGCTCAAATCTTGTTTACTTGCCCTTGACATGAAGATCTACCCCTTGAACAAATGCAGAGAGATAGCATCTCTGAGCAGGGTTCAATCTTACGTTTGTTTTACTACGTGCTAATACATTGCTCGAAATTGTGACTGAGATTTTACTCCTTCTGTTCTTGTTATTCATCAAAAACAGGTAAACCGAAGGTGAACGGATTCATTTGCAAGGAAAATATAACGGCTAATGACTTCTTCACCACCATCCTTGGCACCCCAGGAGCAACCAACAATACCTTCGGGTCAGTGGTCACGGGAGCCAATGTTGAGAAGGTCCCTGGTCTCAACACCCTAGGTGTGTCCCTGTCCAGGATCGACTACGCCCCTGGTGGCCTGAATCCACCCCACACCCACCCCCGTGCCACAGAAATGGTGTTTGTATTGGAAGGTGAACTAGATGTTGGGTTCATAACCACTGCCAATGTCCTCATTTCCAAGTCCATCAAGAAAGGTGAAGTATTCGTCTTCCCCAGAGGCCTAGTCCACTTCCAGAAGAATAATGGGAACCTGGCAGCAGCCGTTATCTCGGCCTTCAACAGCCAATTGCCTGGAACTCAAGGCATTTCCGTAACATTATTTGCATCTAATCCACCAGTTCCGGAAAATGTGTTGACCATGGCATTCCAAATTGGTAGCAAAGAAGTTGATAAAATCAAATCAAGGCTCGCCCCCAAGAAGTAGATGATACACTGATTTAAAAGCAAGACGTCGTATTCATGTTGTTCTTCAAAATAAAACATAAAAAAAAAAAAGAAGTGGATTCGAAGTTAGTTTGTCATTTCAAATTTAGTTTGTCAAAGTTAATGTTGTAAGTAAAATGCATGTGAATTTTGTCTTTGCTTGACAACACAATAAAATGTGATTGTTCCATCCAAGTAAGGTTCTTGATGGGCAGATTGCCTTGCTGCCATGTCCATTTGATATTCAACTCTTAGTTGATTGCCTACATTTGTGCATGTCCAACAATATATGTATTTACAGAGATAAAGTCCTTGTTTTTGGCGTTCATACACGAAGAAGCCAATTTACTTGAGAAACGCTAGAAGAGAAAAATCTTCTTCTAACCTGCTGGTGAAGTGACTATATGTTCGACAATTATGGCTATCCAACTCAATTTCTCGAATTAAAATTAACAACAGTCCTGCAATATAATGACATACTTGTAAGAATAACAAGGCTGCAAAGACAAACTAGTAACTTTTGCCCAGAACAATTTTTTCCCAGTTTTATTAAACAAAGATCAAAATTGCTCCCAAGATGGTTAGTTAGCAGCTTTGGAGCCACTCCTCTTTCCTTCATAAAACCAGATCAACCGAATGACTTAGCTTCCAAATATGGTAGCTAATGATAACTAGAGTTGATTATTGCTTGATGCATTCAATGTAAGTTAAGTGATTGGAGTTGATGCATTCATGAACTGCAAAGTAAGTAAGTGAATGATAGATATAAGGCTGCTACCAAGTAAATGATTGGAGGGTAGGTGAATCATAAAGGTCTGGGCTACCTAACAGTTTAAAAGTTGAGCTCAAGTTTGCGGTCCTCCCTCACTAGGGTAGAGTGGGAAACAATTCTTGATTTTGCTTAATTAGTACACAAAAGTGATACTAATACCACTAATAGCCACATTATGGCACAATCTATCTCCTGGCTTAGATGTGGACGCCAATCCCCAGTTCCCCACACCCTCATCTGCTGCATTCATGGGAGGAGCAAGTGAACCACTTGTGGTACTCCTATTTTTCCTGGCTTGTTTGGTGGGGGTCTTTGAAGAGCTAAATTTTGATTGCGATGCACTTTAAAAGGAGAGAGTTACTAAGGTTGAAATTCTAAAACTTACAAATTCTATATCCAAATTCCAGTTTCCTCCTCTCCACTTTTTAAATCTTACTATTCCTTTGCTCTAGAGTAAAAAAAAGTGAAGAAAAAAAAAAATAGAGGAGGAGGTGCTAATGAACCACTGATTAATCAGTAAGCCTTATCAGTTGGATCATTATTTGCTTGTTAACAACTCTAGTAAATCCATACACTGATTTATTAGCAACAATCCTAATCATCTGCTCGAACGTGTCAATACAATAAGCAAACCTGCAATAATTTTGCCCATCTCTATCATCAAGCAGACATTGAGGTCCCCGGGATTAGTTTGCTCCACTTAGTTTAATGGGTAATATTAGTTGTCATCTGCTCTCACGCCTTCTTTTGCAACCGATTTTATATGGATTTGACAATAATATATCTAAGGGATACACGTAGATATATGATCTCGATTTAGCCTTGTTTGTGTTGTGATTTTTTGCTTTTCATGAATACATTTCTCGATCGCCTCCTAAAAATAGCAATCCCAATGGATAGGAATGAAACATGGCACCACTAATTTTTTAAGCAGTCCAAACGGGTAAAAGCATGGCACTACAAATTTTTTAAGCAAAGCTGTCATTGCCATGATTTTCTATTCTGCATCTTTTTCCAGTCTACATAAAAAAATACTTGAAAAGGCAGAACAAGCCAAAAAGTGCCAACTACTAGTTCTAAGTTCCCAGCTCAGATCCGTATTCAACTAATTCTACGGCTTCTAAAATATCCGGCCACGTTAATTATTGGCTCGCTCACTTGTCATATGAATGGCACTGCTCTGCTCTGACCAAGACCAGTTCAACGGCTATATCTCGCCCAGCAAATAGAATAACGAAAGCTTGCACTAGTTTGGGAGACATGGAAAATAAAAGTGAGGAGAAAAGAGCTAAAGATTGAGGAAGACTAAGGGAGGTTAAAAGTCGTCAAAAACGTTCATATGATTCAGGTGATCCTGAGCGCGTTGCATGACACTACAAAAATGATAATACAAGCATCTTTAAGAATCCAACATACAAAAAATAGAAAGGAAAAAGAAAAAAGAAAATTGACTAGTAACTCGTGTAGTTTCACAGTCACAAATTGGCTTACAACCAACAATCCCACCAGTGGGCAGAATAGATAGCATTCCCAAAGTTAATGCAGAATGACCTGTCTTAAGTTCTGAACTTCATCACTGTGGTTTGCTTGCCATCTGGGATGGCAAACAGTACTAGGGGCTTTGAAGGTCTTATGAAGGGAACATCGCATCTGAAGTACCCTTTTCTCTCCAGCTGTATTATGTCACCACGCTTCAAGTTCCTCATGTTGGAATCACCAAGAGCAGCAGTCTCCATCTTGGTACATGGATTAACAACATCCACGAAATTTTCATCCTCCTCAAGCTGCAATTGAAACATATGCAAACTTCAATCAGCCCCAATTAGGACAGATACATTTAAATGACAATTGATTCAACCAGTAACAAAGGATTACCTTCTTTTTAGTGATCAAATAATCAAAATCCACCAAAGAGAGTGTAACAAGCTCGTTAGTATCAGGCAACCACGTGAGCTTCAACTTTGTTGTTTTGACAGATCCTTCAAGATGCAAAACACCAGTTAATTGTGTTACATTGCCCTCTTGGTCCTTCTCGATTTCCTTTACTATAGCATTGCCCCAATCCATTAAAGTCACTTCCTCATTAGCTGCGATTGATCGGGCATCATCCTGGTCTATCCATATTCTCTTGGTGTACGTAGTTGCTTTCTCCCCAGCACCTTCGTACTTTTTATGCTTAGGTATGGTTCGCACAAATGGATCCTCAGGACCATCAGTTAGAGTCAACAAGACCCGTTGTTGGTCTATAACAGCTGTATGTCTGGGACAGACTGGATCAATAATTTTCTTATTAATGGCCCAAAGCTTGTCCCATTCCATGAGATTGAGATTCTTGGATGCCCCCTAAGATCATTACACCAAAAACAAGTTACAAGTCTATTAGATCAAGGAACTAACTATTCTCTCCCCTGATATACCCTCCACCATTCTGTTTTTGAAGCACAAAAAGAGTAGTAGAAATGAAAAACTGAAGCAAGCAAGATGGAAACTAAAGAATGCACCAACACCCCAAAAAAACGAATTTCAAGGAGCAACTAATAGGAGGAAATATTAGAGATGCATTGCATTGCCAGCCTCATTCCATCAAGTTGGATGTTGAACGAAACAGACATACTTGGATTGTGGTCTTGAAAAAATATCTTACCTGTTCCAGCATGAACTGTATCAGTGCCTCAATCTTCAGCCCCCTGCGTACTATTCCCTGTACAGTAGGAAAACGAGGATCATCCCAGCCATCAACCTTTCCAGTTTGAACAAACCATAGCAGTTTACGCTTGCTAAGAAGTGTATAGACCAGATTCACCCTGCTAAATTCATATATATGAACTTTTTGAAAACCCATATCCGTCTGGATCCAGTAGTATTGATCATTACGGTCGTGATACTCACTAGATCGAAGTGCATGGGTAATACCTTCCACGGCATCAACAAACGGACATGCAAAATCATAAGTAGGATAGATTTTATATTTAGCACCAATCTTGTGGTGAGGAGTCAAATTGCAACGGTAGTATACTGGGTCACGAAGGGACTTGTTTGGATCCTGCATATTCAGCTTGCCTCTGAGGCAACACATCAAACCCCTTTCTGATCCAGCAACCATTTCCTTCCATAAGCTCAGATTCTCCTCCACGCTATTACTTCTACACTTGGATTCTATCCCATCCATCCGTTCTTGCTGCATTTTTTCCCGAGTTGTGTCATCAACATAGGCTTTACCCTCATGAATCAATTTCTCGGCCATTTCTATCATGTTGGGAAAGTAGTCTGATGTGTAGGTTACAGCCTCATAGGTAATCCCCAAAGTTTCAATATCTTTGAGAAGATTATCTACGAATTCACTGCTCTCCTTATCAGGGTTCGTATCATCAAAGCGCACAATCAGCTTACCGTCATATTTCTCAGCAAAATACTTGTTTAACAGTGCTGCTTTAGAATGACCAATATGTAGATAACCACTAGGTTCTGGAGCAAATCTCACCCGTACTTTTCCAACCTGTGCATCTGGAAGATGCACCTCAAATACAGGTCGGTTCCCTCCCACACCCTTCTCACTTACAGCGCCATTCACACTATTGGAAGACGAAGTAGAAACCTGTTGATCTCGGACTTTAGAAACTGCTTGAGTCCCTAAACCTTTTTTTCCAATATACATTGCAGTCACTTCATTCAGAGCTGCATCAAATTCGTCATGTATAGAGTTGAACCACCGTACTAGATTTTGATATTTCTTGGAATTGCGTAGACTTTGCCATCTCTGCCCTGTTCCTGCAAATGAACTAGTATTGAGAACCCATCCTGGTATGCTAGCAGAAAAGGGTCTTTATTTAGAACAAACTTCCAAAAGTGAGAAATAAAGTGACAGGAGAAAATGCAAAATAGTGCTCCAACAAAAAAAATGTACTTTACCAAAAACAGATCAACCTTAATCATCCTCATCCAAATACAACTAATAGGGGCTCAAAACCAGATCAATCTTTATTGCTTACATATTATTCTCCTGACTCACACTTCAGCATCAAATACATATTTGACCAAAAGCGGTTCACCAAGTCTAAATTCTGGAGTGCCCTCCAATGTCAGAAAAACTTTAACATCTACATATACCTTTTTTTCTATTTTAAATTATATGGAAATTCTTAATTTGGATTACATTCACATATGGCCACTGATTTCAAAGACATTGAAGCAATAAAAGGAGAGCAGTCGCGTGCTCAATGAGAGGACTAAAATAATGTCTATCCAAGGTTTCTACGATGGGAACCTTATACACCGAATAAGTCCACCAGACTGCTTTCCGTCATGAACAATAAGCAAAACCAGATAAATTTCAACCTGGCAAAGGCTCAAAGAGTCTAAGTTAGGCCACACTTTCTGCCCAAAAAAACAAAAGAAGGGCAAATCCAGGTGCTATGTAGCCACCAATCCATCAAATAAATCAAACAAATAATTCATTGTATATGCTAAAAATATCAAATCACTTCTGTGCGTTTGAAGTAAAACATATGCTACTATAGCTAGGAAATAAATTTAAGATAAAATCAACAGTTAACCAAAACTAATAGGCAACTGCTGTTATTTATGCAAAGTTTGTACATCGAACTCAACTGACACTAAATCAATGTATAGGTTGATATCTACTTGTCCTTGAGGTATTTATGTAGCTAATGTATCATAGCCATAACACCTACATCACTTGTAATTTCAGTGCTCACGGATGATTTGGATCCACCAATTAGGATATGTTCAATAAGGAGAGGAGGAAAACAGGACAAATGTAATCAACTGACTGAGCTCATTACAACAATTACGAAAAGAAGATTATATTACTTGTACGAATCAGAGAAAATTTCTCCACTTAAAATTCATCCATCCAGTTTATGCTCCATCTCCTGATATGCTGGCTTAGAGCGGAATATTTGATTAAAAAAGAATGAGGCTTAATAGTCACTAAATACAGATGCACAATTAACTAGGCAAACTAATAACAACTGGAGACACAATATTTTACCTACAAGTGCTGACCAGATTGCTATATCTGCAATTGACAGACTATGACCGACTAAAAAAGTATGCTGCAGTAGATATCTGTCCACATAGCCACATGCCCCTTCAAATTCAGAGCCAGAAGAGAAAACAGGGGCATACTCAAGCCATTCATCAATCTACAAGACAGATAAAAGGACAATTTAAACAACAAAGTAAAATGGAATTCTAGATCTTCATTTACCACATTAGAACTAACAAGAACAATTCAGTAGTCAATAAACAAAAACTGCCACAAATGTGTTTATTGGACATTCCAAACAGAGAAATCAACACTCCTTTTTTTTTTTTCGTTTTGGTGAATATACATATACATATATATATATATCTTTGTAGCATGATGGTTGTTACTGGTAGTATCCTCTCAAAAGACGTTAACTGTATGCTAATTAAGCGTCACAATAAATAGCTTATGCCACACAGGCGGATGAAAAAGTTGCAATTAAACACATTTAAGCTGCAGGCAAGCAATAAAAAGGCACCTGGGTGGACTCAAATGCATCCCTATTGTAAAAATCTGGAATCTTTGCTACCCGGCCGATGTATCGCAGAAGCACATACAGTCCCCGCAGTTTTCCACTGCATCCAAAAAATTGAGTTACTACAAAGCTCAAGCACCTCATTGAGCTATATAAAGACGATCGCATCATCTGTTAATATTATAAGAAAAAAAATGACATTTCCAGAATAACAGAATAATCGAAATTTCATCCCACCAATATGATAGACAAAAAATTCCTCAAGCTCACAGGGCAAAAGAAGGAACTTAAGAGTTGGAAAAAAAAAACTCACAAATCCGACAGAAAGGGAAACATTAAAACGGAGAAATTACCCATCCGAGAAGTGGAGGATAGGGGTTGAGCCAGAAGGGAGGGAAGGATCAGTAGGGAGAGAAAGACCGGCGATTTTAGAAGCGACAATGACGGCAAGTGGCGGAGCATCCGCCGGAAAACACAGCATCTGTATCTCCATTGGCGCCTAATTTACTAAGAAAAAACAAAAAAAAAATGAAATGTAACGAGAGAGCAGAAGTGGAAGGGGTTTAGGGTTTTATACAGTTAGAGAGAATCAACGGCGCCAAACCAAAAACTGGGGGCTACCAAAAGCTGGAGCGCACGTAAGATTCCCGTTGAGTTTAGCCAATACTATTCGACGACGACGAGACAACGATTTGAGGTTTTTCTTTTTTTTTTTTTTATTTAACTTATTTGGGCCGGGATCAGCACTGGTGCTGGGCCTTTGTGATCAGATCTTTTATGTCCAAAGAGGGGATCTGTGTGATCAGATCTTTTATGAGAGCTTCCCTAAACCCAAATTCAATTGGCAGAGAGTAGTGATTTATTTCATTCTTCTTTTAGTGATTTTTCTATGCGTTTGGTTTTTCTTGAGTGAATTTGATGATCAACCAGTACGTTTTCTTGATACTCTTGTAATTGTTCGTTGTTTTAAATTGGTGATTAATTTGTACGACCATCGAGGGACTTTTTTGATAATTTCTTTTATTTCAACAGATTTTTTTGAAATTTTTGATCAATGGAATAGGTTTGAATAACATTCAATAGAAAATTTGAAATTTTTTCTTTCTTTTTCAAAAGCTTCTCCTTTCCTTTCTTTTACGAATTCGAGGACAAAGGGGGTTAAATCTCAGAGGATTGTGGCAACAAGGACTCAAACAATCGTGTGGCAGCAAGGTTTAGAGTTTTTTCTTAAATCAAATAAAATCCCTTTCCTTCCCTTTTCCTTAGAAAAAGAAGAATTTGATGAGTATTAACTTACATTTTCAGACTCGGACCAAGTATCGAGTCAGCCGAGATCAAAGGGCAGGGGTCAATGGGTTCGACCGAATTCGATGGGGTTGAACCGGATGATGTCATAAATAAAAATTATTTAAAAATTAAAATATTGTATATAAAATCCCTAAAAGTATGTTAATATGAATAACGGTATATTCATATATATTTGATATTTCAAATATATTTAACAAGAAAATACAAAGAAATTAGAACAATCAAGTAGCAATTTATATTATTTAATGAACTTTAACAAATTTAGAATTAAAATTATAGATTTGATTGAAAAATAACATCAAATTTTAGGACAACATTTATAAAGTATGAAATATTTGAGGTATATTAATAAGTTTTAACAATTTAGGGGTCAAAACATAATATTGAAAAAGTTTATCTTTTTTTAAAAAAATGCTCTGATTTTTTCGATTTTTTTCCTGTCAAACCCGATTTTTGACCGGATTTTTTGTCTTCCAGTTTTGAAGAACAACTCGGACCGGACACTTGGCCGGTTCCCGGTTCTACCGGCCAGTCCGGTCCGAGTTATAAAACACAGGTATTAACTTGATCTCTACATGTGAAAGAAAAAGTTTACTTGTTATTGTAGAAATAGGAAGAAAGAAAAAAATGGAAAAAAGATTTATTAGTGCAAGTGTCAAGAAAAAGCAAACATGCCAGTCTTGAGAATAATAAGGAAATAAAACGTTGGTGAATATCATTGATTTACCAAATTGCAAGTTAAGTGGTGTATGTAAACACAAAAATCCCGTTCTTCTTTACAAAATTCAATTGAGATGCATTTCTCTATTATGCGCCTGGGCATAAAGGATTTGGACTGGCACCTCCTGTGTCCAATATTGGGTCCTAAAGCATAAGCTTATTAGCTTAAGATGATTTTTGATAGGAATCTTATGATACATCCTTCTTCCAGGAGCCATTTGTTGAAGTTTGTTTTGTAACTTTTGTTGCACCTGTCCTGTTCGGATGGAATTTGTAGCGTTTGTTTCAGAAGTAGACAGTTGATGGTGGGCAGATAATTGACTGCATGAACCATGCAGTTATACACACAATATGCTTCTGCAGAAATATTTGTGAGTTGCTCAGAAGTACCAAATGGTTAAAAACGATCAAATAAGTTTGTAACATCAAATGATCATATATTATACGCAATGTGGCACTAGAGTTCTTTTCCTGCTTTCTCTGGTTTCCAACAGCATAATCCGTTGTACAGAGCAAAAGTTAGATGGATTGAAAGGGGGCTAATCATCATCCAATTGTTTCAAACGAGGCAAGGTACAAAAATGGAAACCAGTTTTATTCACATCGCAGAAGTTAAAAACAACAGAAATGTCTAAAGGAAATTAGCCAAGCAAATCAAACACAGACTAACTCAGGACTATGAATTCTTGTCCTCTTTGACTATACACATTTCATTGGGATCTTGTTAGACCTACAAGATCACGTGAACAGCTTGCTGCAGGCTGATTAGCAACTGCAAGTTCAACAGATATGATAAAAGTCGATCGCCCCGCCTCCCTTAGGTACTGAACATCTCCATTCATAAGCTTCACCAGTTTTCTGCTGATAAGAAGACTTATTCCCTCATCAGATGCTTCTCCATTGGTACCGAACATTTGGTTCAGCAAGTCTTCTGGAACCCCGCCTCCAGAATGTGTCATCCTGCACCCAAAAGAAATCACAGTAGCTCATGACTCTGTAACCCGTAGATGGCTTAAAAATAAAGATACTGCAGTCATAAATAGGCGCATGGTCCCAAAACAAATGTTTGTCAAAGTATATTTTCAATGGATTGATTCTGATCTGTGATCTGAAATCTTCATTATCTGCCACACATAATCTAAGTACCATATACCTAAACCTGTTTGTAGGGTACTAAAGTACCTGCTATATTAGCGACGAGGAGGATACCTCATTTAAGTGTATTCCCTTCTATATAGGATTAAACCCAAATATTTACTTCTACTGAATTCCTTCTCTTAAAAAAGAAATATTAAAAGGAAGATCCACCAAGCATTGGAAATCTATGCAGTAGTTCTGAGGAATTTACAAGGAATATTAAAATAAAAAGAAAACTAATGTGTTATGCCATAAGTAATCAGTCCATTCTCAAAACCTGGTTGTAGCGGTCAATTGAGATAAAAAAAAAATAATACACAATAGAAGAAATTAAGAAGAGACAAGGATCTCAATACTACGTTGGGAAGCTTAGCCCAAGCTACACAGGGAGGGGGTCCATCATAACATTCAAACATGCAATTGAACAAGTCTTTTCTCAGAAATGGCAGGCAGAAAAGAAAAGGAGAGAAATGATACACCTCCATTGTATGTATAATCGCCAATAAAATGTGTACTCCACCTATCATCTTGAACACAAAACCTTTTTCAACAATCAAGTAATGTAAGCCAGGAAAAGAAAATAAAAATCTACACTGATCAGGAGGAGCGCCATCTACACCAGTACAAGTTGCAGGGAAATTCTCATACCTTAATTCCAAATGGGCAAGCTGAACAGACTCCCCTAATCGGTCTTTAGTCAACTTTCCTCCAAGACCCAGCTGGCCTCCATTTGGTGTAAAATTCACCGATGTCAACAGGAAATCAGCTAGAACTTGCTGAAGCCTCAATCCGTCACCATATAGAGTTTCATTCATAAGACTTTCAGCCAAATTATTCACTATCTTAACACCCTTTGCACTGCTTTTGATCATGACTTGACTAATGGAAGCAACCAGTACTTCATGTAGCTTGAATTCCACCATTTCCAGATCCAAATACCTGCAAAGAAAAGGCAAAGGATATCCTAAGAATATAGCATATGAATGCCAGACAAATTAAAAAGACATGAAGCTCAAAATGAAGCAAAGCCACACACAAAATCCACACAATAGGACCAAAAAGTGTAGACCATAAGTACTTGAACAGGTGAAAGCCAGAGAACATCCTAGGTGCAGTACGCTTGAAAATTTGGGATCTTATTACCTTTAACTTCTATATGACCTAAACCCAAATTATGATTGATTTGATCAACAATCTCGAGAAGCATCAAACATAACTAAATCACATAAATCCCAAAGATTCAGAGAAACTTTGCAAACAGTTATTGCTAATCAATTGTGAAACATGCACATGAAGGTTAGACATCCTAATGTAATGACGATTTTCACACAATTTAACCAGAAAGCTCCGACATAATGTTATTAGTGAACCTCTGCTGAATCTCGTAACTAGTAGCTAGATGCTGCTAGCAAAAAATTCAAGTGCAAACAGAACACTTCAATCCAATGAAGCTTTAATTATGCAATAGTCAGACATCAAGGATAAGGAAATAAAAAACTTTTGAAGAATATTGTAAACATAAAACCAAACCAAAATACAGCGAGCAAATACCAATGATTTTATCATACCCATCAATTATGCTGTCAAGATCAGTGTCATCAAGAATCTTGTTAAGCTGACGCTGACACTGGGCACTGGTTTGTAGCAGATTCTTCTGATCCTCCCCCAACTCAGTGTCCTCCAACATCTTCCTTGAAAAAATAATTCCAGACAGTGGATTTCTTATCTGCATCCTTATGTAAGCCAATACCTTCAACCTTTTCAATGCAGTTTCCTCAGATAGTCTTTGAATATGAAGTGCCTGCTGCAACTCATAACTTGCCAGCTGCAGAAAGCAAAATACCCCAGTGACTGCACCCTCTCTATCCAGCTTTTTGCTCACACAGAGCAGGCACTCTATGTACTTCCCATTCCGTGCAAAGAAACCAAAGGGTATCTTTTCAGATGCTTGACCACTTATGGCAATGTTTAGTAAAATACCAAGATTCACAAAAGCTTCCTGATTCCTGAGCCTGCAACAGGCTGTATGAATTCCAAAAACCTCTCCTAAAAGCATCTTATCCATAACCTCCTCTCTACGCCATCCAGATACTTTTGTCATGGCAGAATTCCACTCAGAGCACCAGCCAAATTCATCCGTTCCAAATATTGGAGGAATCAATGGGTTGGGATTTTGGACAATAGCTCTGTAATCACCTTCAATTCTAGTAAACTTGTCCATGATAGCCTTCTGACCAGTTATATCCTGGGCAACAAAACATACACCCACAACAGTCCCTCTAACATCCCTGCTTGCACAGGCATTCACAATCAAGCTAACTGGGCCTGCATCAGCTTTTGATCCATGTGTTTTAATCTCAAATTGCACATTTTGTTCTTCTTTGCCTGATAAAAACAAAGAAAGATTAAAAGCTGTACACAAAACATTTGAGGTGTGAATTGACATCATGACTTAAAAAATAAAATACAAA